CTGCCATAAATATAAAGTTGAGCTAGCTATCTAGCTTGGTAGATAAATAGATGTTCATAGTAGTAATATATATATATATATAATGGATATTGAAATCAACACTTCCATGCTTAAATACAATCTGCAAGCCATGTCTGTTGAGTTTTGGCGCCACTATTCATATATGATGCTCAGTGGTGCATTATGGGTAGGTTTATTGTTTGTTTCTAATGGTTATTGGGGGTGGGCAGTAACAGTTATGTATCAAATTATTCTACGGGCTATTGAGTGGAAATAATTGCAGACCCGAATTCAGTTTCCAACTTTTTTTTTTATATTGTGGCGCCGTGGTTGGAATATATCTGTAATTACGTCTAAATTATTAGGGGTGAATGTTTCCATACAGACAGCCAGTCTATAGTTAACAAATATCGAAGAGATCATGAATACGAACCTACTTTTTCAGTTTTGCTGACATTTTGTGAATCGTCGAAGAATAGAACATATGGCAGTCTATAAAGTCACGTTGATCTCGTGATCCAGAGGATTGGACGTTCACGTTAGGACCATTAACAGACATTTTCGACTTCCGCTAACATTTCGTAGCCGTTATATTGCGTCCCGTTTCCATGTTGATATTTTCTGAACGTGAAAAGAAGCAAAGAAAACAGAGGCAAAATCTCGAATTAGACCAACTCTAGATGGTATATTTTTCTGCTGACGTACAAAACCTCGAAAGACCGACTTTACAAATTTGATCAAATGAATTTTTCTTTGATGTTTTACAAATACCGAGCTGATAACGTTTCCGACAGGTTCGACATTGCCCCACTTATCCACAAAAAGATTCTTTGCAAACAATTTTCTCATGCATTACATCCAGAAAAAGGTGAACCTAAAAACACACAAGTCTCATTAGCTCCATATATATATATATATATATATATATATATATATATATATATATATATATATAAAGATAATAAAACGTGACATACGTCTCATTATCTGCATATATATATATATATATATATATATATATATATATATATATATATATATATATTATAGTAAAATAGGAAGAACAGTAGGATATGTAATCCGGTGTTCTTACTGATATTTTTATTTTTACAAAACAGTGCTCACTGTAAATTTAAAGAGCATAAATATTATAAATTAATTGATTTAAGATATGATTTCTTCGCTTCAAAGGAATTAGCATGTTTCAAAACAGAAACTAAAAACATCAAATTCAATTATATAATTAAATCAAAAGCATTAGTTCTGTTTCATCTTCAAGAAAATTTTGAAATAACTTATTTTGAAATTTACTGAGTTTTACAAGCACATACATTCATAATTTTTGTTTCCAAGGATAGAGAGAAATCCAATCATTTATACAGGGGCGGTAGCGTGTTCTTTTATTAACTCATAAATGATACAATAATAGTTAATACAAACCATATATATATATATATATATATATATATATATATATATATATATGCAGATAATGAGATGTGTGACATGTTTCATTTATCATTATATATATATATATATATATATATATATATATATATATATATATATATAATGAAATGGTTTGAGTCTGACAATTGTTTAATATATTTTCTGTTTATATGTTATTTTAATAGATACAATTTAAGTAAATGCTCTGTTATTTTTTTTTAATAAAAAGTATTAATTACATTTACCGGCATGAGATTTCGTAGATATTCGTACGCCAAAATTCCTTACAAAATTTCTCGAACATTTCCGCCGGTAAAAATACTGTTTATTAAAAAAATAACAATGCATTTACTTAAATAAATTGTATCTATTAAATAATGTATAACCAGAAAATATATTAATCCATTTCATAAGACGTCAATGATAACGTTAAGGTATGTTTCGTGAGCAGATATGATCGTTCTGGAAAGATGGTCGAAGATTTCTTATTCAAAAATAGTGATTTGAACTCTACCGACCGAACGCGTCCCTATAGCCGAGTGGCATAAAGCGTCAGGTTCGATTCCTGTTGAACAAACTTATATTTTCTACAAAATTTCACGAAAATTCAGATCGGTAATTAATACTTATAATTTAAAAACGGAGCATATTCGATTAAATTAATTCTATCTATTAAAATATGAAAACAGAATATATATATATATATATATATATATATATATATATATATATATATATATATATATAGGCGATAGACAGTCTCATGCTAGATGCAATCCTCTAGCATGAAACAGCCTGTCACCTTTAAGTTTTGATTTCAATGTTCACTTTTATATTTACACATGCTCTATCTCTGATATTGAGCACCTTATCGCATAAATATAGCACACCTTAAGAGTATAATTTTTTCATATATGTATATATATATATATATATATATATATATATATATATATATATATATATATATATTCCAATGATAATGACAATGTCCTGTTGAAATGGCCACCATGATAACCTGTTTTGACAGCTTGTGATTTTTGCTATAAGGTAAGGCCATGTGGAAGGACATATCTATACACATCTTCTTAGAATCCTTAACTTAAACAAAGAATCACTGAAGCGGCGGAAAATGTTACGCCAGACATGCTACAGCTGGACTACCGACTTGACGCGAGTCGTGCCACACGTGGTGTGCATAGTGAATATTTGTGAAACTTTGAGAAATCGGTTATAAAATCTACATCCATTTGAATATCTTGTCGAATTTTGATAAATAAATCTTTTATTGTTCAACATGATGCCTATTTAATTCCGTTTGCCTTCGATATATGGTTGCTTAAACGTTCATATTTTAAATTATATGAATTCTGGGGAGAACACCCTGTATTTTGATTCGCTCTGTTTGTGAGAATATTCCAATTTTCTGTTTTTAAAAATTCTGCAAGCTTTTTGTTTCACGTTGAATATCAAATAATTAGTATATTGAAGGATCTCTAAAGTATTTTAAATTTATTTCTCCTTTTCATATTAATATTTGTTGTATCCTTAAAGAGGATACAAACAGACAAAAGTTGTACTCGAGTGAAGGAAGAGCAAGACTAGCGGAAATGAAAGAATGAGAGATTTATTGTAAAAGAGAATACACTACTGAAAGACAAGGAATCAGGTGACAGGCTAGTAATTCCCGAAGCAAGCATAGTTATCTTACCTCCCCACGAGGCAATATGTGGCACAAGGCATTTTAATGCGAGGCAAAACCGAGCCCGTACGCTCGGGCAAAAAGTCCCCGTAGACCCCGTATACACGGGGTCGGGTAGCTGTCTACCACACCAGACGAGACTTTACCCTTCGGCATAGCCTCGTCTGGGTTCCTCTCTCCCCGAAGGCAGAGAGTTCGACCAGCACAGCTGGAGACGAATCTCCAACTAATTACCGAAGGAACGGTATCTAGCAACTGCCCCACGCAGTCACATTTGGAACAAGGCCGAATTTAATGTAGGGTTCTCGAGCTCGTAGGCTCGGCTAAAAAATCTCCGTAGGCCCCGCATAAACGGGGTCGGGCTTGTCAACCTCCCCGGACGAGAGTCTGCCCTTCGGCATAGCCTCGTCTGGGTTCCTCTCTGCCCGGAGGCAGAGTGTTTGACAAGCACAGCTGGAAACGAATCTCCAAGTAATTCCTGGAGGAAGGTTATTTACCTTATCTCGCCGCGAGGCAGGATGTGGTACAAGACCGTTTTAAATGCAGGGTTAAAACCGAGACCGTTGGCTCGGGGAAAACTTCCGCGTTGACCCCGTAAAAACGTGGTCGGGTAGCTGTCTACCACAGACGCGACTCTACCCTTCAGCATAGCCTTGTCTGGGTTCCTCTCCGCCCGGAGACAGGGAGTTCAACTAGCTTAGCTAGAGAAGAATCTCCAACTAATTCCCGAAGGAAGCCCCCAGGTATATCCTGTGCTCACCATATATATATATATATATATTCCAATGATAATGACAATGTCCTGTTGAAATGGCCACCATGATAACCTGTTTTGACAGCTTGTGATTTTTTCTATAAGGCCATGTGGAAGGACATATATATAAACTTCTTCTTAGACCCTCTAACTTAAACAAAGAATCACTGAAGCGGCGGAAAATGTTACGCCAGACATGCTACAGCGTGTTTGGCAGGAGCTGGACTACCGACTTGACGCGTCCATTTAGGCGATAGGGTATGTGGGACATACCATTAAAACGATATTGAGGGCAACGAATTGGGAATGCTCTTAAATAGAATCTTATAATTATTCTGGATTTAATTTTGTTGTTCTGGTGAGAATAGAAATTTATAAGATCAATTTTGTTATTTTGTTTTTTTTATAGCAAAGGCAGTGTAAAGCTACGTTAAGGCGGTGGACCAAGACGATTTGAATTTTGTCAAGAATGCCTAGATATATCGTAGAAGCACCAGATCAGATGTGACAGCGATATTCAATGCACTGACGAATAGTAAACTTAAAAGGAAATATAACTTTAAGGATTATATATTATTCACAAAGGAAGCATTGATAATGTAATACAATATCCTTCTTTGTCAGTTCACTTCACCCTACTGTCTTCCTCTAACCACATGGATCAGATATCAGATATTAAACTTTGAAAAGTCCGGATGAAAATTCCGCAATTACCTATGTCAGTTTACGATCGAAGGCATGAACTCTCATACATTCATGTCATACGTACAAACAGAAACACGCACACATATATACGTACATATATTGACCGAGTGGTTAAAATGTTCGATTTCCGATCCTGAAACAAGGGTTCGAATCTGACTATCGTCAATTTATCAGGAAGGTTACTTCATGTTACTATCACTGACTCCTTTATGTTATCAACCGAATCCTGTGACTCATTTGGAAAGATTCTGAAAAAAAGACCCCACGAGTTGGTTCCAGCTTTGTGAATGAAATTACTTATACGAAAAGGTTCGGAATTTATGTAGTTATGTTGGAACGAAGTCACAAGTCACCGTGCCCGAGGGTTTGAGTGTACTGGCTAGTGTTTAT